CTGGCCATTACTACACACTAACCAGAGGCTCTGACTCCAGTTTGAGCCCAAAGCCCCCTTCTGTCAATACACAAATCAGTCTGACTCAGTTCTGCAAGCCCTCAGGGTCCATGTCCTGGGGCCCAGCTGAAGTAGTCACAGGGAGAGTCCCATTGTAACTTAAGTCTGAACCCTATTGTTCTGCAATATGGGAGCAGGGAAAGGCTCCAGCAATAGGCTAAAAATAGCAGTGTAGGTGTGGGAGGCACTATGTGTAGAAATTGGAGACACTGCTTGGTTGTGCGGAGACGCATGTAGGGTATATATCCTGAGGGTCTGGCATTTCTTTACTCTGCTTGTCAAAGTAGTGCTTCCCTGCCTACTCTGCTCTTTGTAAAATTCAGCATATACAATTTACTTTTATTAAACAAAGCAGGTAGGGAGAAGCTCTGAAACTCAAGTATGAACCCACTCACGTGAGGTCAGTGAATAAACCCAGTGCAGTACAGGATGGTGTCCCCTGGAGTCACAAGCTAGGTCTCAAATACCTGTGATGGCTTTGCTAATCTCCTGTACTCACTATCCTCTGGGTTCCCTACATAATAAAGCCCTAAATACAGTACTTGACTTATTGTGCCATGTTTATCAAGCTTGACCTCAAAAGTTAGATATTCTCCCTAATTCTTTGTTTATATAGAAAAACAGCTTTTAACGAAAAGTTTTTCATGGGGTTCATGGATTCAGCATATTTTATATTTAAATATTCTAGGAGATTAAAAGGAAATGTGAAGTGGAAAACATTACAAATAAGTTTGTATTTATATAGGACAACTTCTTATGTTTTAAATAAAATAAAATTCCAATTTAAATTAAAAGATCTGATTCAAATAAACATTTTTATTTGGTGAAAGGTCATGATGAACTATTGTAAAATTCATCAATGACCAGGAATTTTTTTCAGGCATGCAGAAGGAATTTTTCAGTGATAGAAAAAAATATTTCTCCCAAGATCTTGCGGGAGAGAGGACTGAACACAATAAGTTGTTGGAGGAGACAGGGTTCTTCCCCTCCCTCTTCCCCCCAAGGGGCAGGCGTGTTAGTTTGTAACTGGAAAAACTTAAAAACCAGCAAATAGTCCTGCAGCACCTTAGAGACTAACAGAACTTTTGATGGTGGTATGAGCATTTGTGCCCACGAAAGCTTATGCTACCATCTACATTTTGTTAGTCTCTAAGGGTATGTCTACACTACCCTCCTAGTTCGAACTAGCGGGGTAATGTATGCATACCGCACTTGCTAATGAAGCCCGGGAAATTCAAATCCCGGGCTTCATTAGCAAGTGCGGTATGCATACATTACCCCGCTAGTTCGAACTAGCGGGGTAATGTATGCATACCGCACTTGCTAATGAAGCCCGGGAAATTCAAATCCCGGGCTTCATTAGCAAGTGCGGTATGCATACATTACCCCGCTAGTTCGAACTAGCGGGGTAATGTATGCATACCGCACTTGCTAATGAAGCCCGGGAAATTCAAATCCCGGGCTTCATTAGCAAGTGCGGTATGCATACATTACCCCGCTAGTTCGAACTAGCGGGGTAGTGTAGACATACCCTGAGGTGCTGCAGAACTATTCACTGTTTTTTAACTGTTCGTTTAGTTTCTTTCTTCTTAAAACAACTCCCTATCTGTGTAATCCAACAAGAAATATTGTTCCCAGGGTGCTCTGGATCAGGTGTAGAGAGGCATCTCTTGTGATGAACTAGAGGTCTTCTAACCCGTGCAAGAGATCTGGAGAACTGGGACTACCACAGACAGAGTCAGAGGGGACCTCATCTAAGAACCAGATAGCCCCTAAGCAGTCTGCTTGAGCGACCGCAGGAACCTTCAGGGAGGCCAAGACGACCTGTTTTCCAACCACAAACGAGTCTGGGTGGAATGTCCCCTGACCCAAGAAGCACGTTTATCATTTTACTATGGGAATAAAGGTATCTATAATCTGAGCTGGTGCTCACTCTGATTGTGCTGATTTACAATATATCAATATGCTTATAGATGATTATCAGATGGAGTCATGTTAATATTTGTGTGTTTTGTAGAAGGGCTTGGGCATTGAGGGAATACCTATATTCCCTGCTCCTAGGCCAAGCTTAAGTTTTGTTTGCATTGCTTTCAACACAAAATGTTTGGTTAAAGCATTAACTATTGCAAGGGCCAGTACTTCTTTCTCTAAGTACTTGCCCTAAGTGGCAGAGCTGCTCTTTCTACCCTTTGTACTTTGTAGGTGCAATGAAGCCCCTTGCTCCACATGCTCAGTGATTGCTCCAGCTTTGAGACACTGTTTTGGGTGGGAATAGGTGACTGGATAGTGTAATATGCTGGTAGCACTCTGACCTCTATTATGCAATCAATAGTCATGTTGGCTGGCTGGATTTTTTTTTTTTTTAAATACAACAGTTACGGTGAGTGGCTGAGGTTCAAACCAAGCTGTGACTGTAACCAAAGCTCTAACACTGGACACCCAAAATTAAATGCTATGGGATTGTCTACATGGAAGATGAATCCAAATTAATTGAAGTTGTGAATTTAAAGTGGATTATTTAAACCCTTTTATTCAATTTATCTCAATTCATAAACTAAATCAAATTAAGGACACTTTAATTCTGAATAAGCGAGTCCGGACAAGTTAATTGCAGCTTAACCAATCCACTTTGAAAATTAATTTGGATGAACTTTCCTGACTTTTTTTTTCCCCCATGTAGACAAGCCTTGACCTATTCAACTGGGATCTATTTACCTTAAATTGCCAAAAGACATCTTACACAATAGCAAAGGTGATTCATATTTAACCCTCTGCATGCCTACAATCTCCATTCAAACTTCATTTTCTTTTCCCTTTGGCCTCACAGATCAAGGACTTTTGATGTAACCACCACTGAAATAATTGGGAGTCTTTCCATCGATTTTGATGAAAGATGGATTGAGAATTTTGGCTAGATCCCTTGCAGAAAGGAAATAATTTAGGGAAGAAATTAAAGCAAAGTTTAACATAAGAGCTCTGCCTTTTCTACTATCCTTATGGATTTTGCTTCTTTATGGTGGTTGGGGGAAAAAACATTTAATGCAGCTGCCTAATGAGCTAGAACAGATTTTCCTCTAGAAAACAGGAAAGGGAATCATAGCATCTTGTTTGTTAAAATGCACATTGACATGGGAATAAGAATAGAAAAACCACAACAAAACCACCAATGACAATTGAATCAAATCAACACTGACACACACAATAGCCTGGGAAAAAGAAATACAAACAGATGAACTAGAAGAGTTCCGGGAAAGAAACAATTCAATGGAAACTTTGATCTGAATATCCACCCAGAAACTGTCATGCTTGTCCGCTGTTCATCAGAGGACTTGTACAAAAGAGAGAGACTAGAGCTATCCCATTTGTGGGAGCAACTACAGAGAGGTGATGTGGGGCAGATAGGATGGACTTTTCCAAAAGCCTAGTGTTATGGGAGATGGCTTAGCTGTGCCCCCAGAAGATATAAGATGGAACCCTCTTTCTTTTGCTTGAGAGAGAAGGGTCTAATTCAAAGCCCACTAAAGTTAATGCGAGTCTTTCTATTGACTTTAATAGGCTTTGGGTTACATTCTAAACCAGAGCCCTGATTACTTGTATTTATAGCACTTCTTGTAATTTGGCTAATTACATTCTTCTTATTGAACTATTTGTAATTTCCTCTCTCTTTTTAAAATAACCCAGTGAACTCTCTTGCAAGTGTTGTTAGTTCAGACTAACTTCCTTCTTCCTATTAATTTTCTCACTGCCTCCACGAGTTCTAAAGGCAAAAGGTGGTATAAAATGAGGGAGGGATATTATTAATAACCATCATTTCCTTTCTCATTAACTTCATTAGCTTGTCTGTACATCAAGCTTCAATGAAGCCTTTTGAATGAATGTGAATGGTATCAGTGATTGCATATGGCTCATGTTTAAGATTAAAGGTGGCATTGACAGACACATGATGTGACTTCCTTAGAACAGTGTTTCTCAACCAGTGGTATGAGTACCCTTAAGGGTACTCGAGAGAAGTCTGGAAGGTACGTCAACACAACTGAAATTTGGCGAAAACTGAATTTTTGTTTTAAGTTTTATAGTGCTTTATTATTTTTGTACTTTTTACACCCAAAAATTTCATCGCCCACCCGGCTGCGATTAAGTTGTTTAAACAAATGTGTTGCAACAGTAGAACCAAATTGTGTGTGTCTGAAAACTGTAGGTCCTGGGGTACTTTTTTGAAACAGGGGTACTTTATAAAAAAAGGTTGAGAAACACTGCCTTAGAACACTCAGACATAACATAGACAGTGATTGCAGAGTAGCTCAAATAGACCTCATGAACTTTGACCGGGGCTAAGATCTCTCTCCTTTTTAGTGACCCTTGTAACAACTTCAAGTAATCTTTTCCATTAATTTGTTTTTAAGGATTTTAATCTTAATATCAAGCCTCAGAGCCAAGTAATACTATTATATTGCCACACCTGTATGATTAGCATTGCTCTCTGATGAATGGAATCAGACCTGCTCACCTGTGTGTCATAGCTTCTGATCTGCTAACAGCAAAGGGAGAGCCTCTGTAAGCTCTAGTAGTTGGAATCTCTTCTGTGATTCAGATTCCTGTCACTGTCTGGAGAGCTTTTATTGCCTCACAGTCTTTAGATTGCTTTACGATTAAAAATCAGAATCCTTACACAGGCCCTGGAATTCTCACACATGCATCACTAAACATCAGGTTCTAGAATGTAGGTGATCCTGATCCTGTACATGCAGCTCTAGCACCTAGCTGTCCTACAGCATGCTTCTCTGAATACCTCATGTTTAATTTTTCTCTCTGTCACTGTTCTTCATGCTTGTTAGGTCAACCCTTTGGCCAGCTGTCTCTCCTCACACTCTGGAATCTGGGTAGCTGCCTGCCATGCAGGCTTTTTCACCTCCTCAGCTGTGTTTGTCTTTTCCTTACAGGTGTGGATGGATGCGGGCACGCAGATCTTCTTCTCTTATGCCATTTGCCTGGGGTGCCTGACAGCTTTGGGTAGCTACAACAAGTACCACAACAACTGTTACAGGTAATTGGGATGAGATTCTATAGTTCAGGGACCCCACCCCCGCTGTATCCATCTTCCTCCCTGCATGCCATGGAGCCCTGGCGGATAGCAGACTGCTCTGCCAAAGGAGACTGCGGATCAGGTTAAGTTTGAGGAAGTGCCTCATGCTTTCTTTCCTCTTGAGGCAGAAGAGCACTCTTGCCAGTTGCTGCCTTACTTGAAAACCAATTTCTCCTGCCATGTTTCTGAAACTGAACCCAGGAGGAACTTCAGTAGTTTCCCTGACACTTTACAGGTGAGAGGTTCTCTCCCTCCCCACCCCCCCAACACACACACCTGACCGAGCTTGCTGATTGTTTACATTGTAACTCTTTAAAAGCTCTGGGGCTGAATTCTGTTTATGGTGCCATTAAGCAGAACCAATCTTCCTTTACAGATGCTTGAGTGGATTTAGAACCCACACAAGTGATTTGATGGTAACGTTTGATTTGAGTCTCTCCCCCCCCCCCCCCCACCCCAACACTCTCCTCTGC